GAGGATTCCCTCTTTTTCTATTGATTGGAATAGTCTCAGAAGGAATGGTACCAGCTCCTCCTTGTACCTGTGGTAGAATTCAGCTGTGAATCCACCTGGTCCTGGACTTTTTTTGGTTGGTAGGCTATTAATTATTGCCTCAATTTCAGAGCCTGTTATTGGTCTATTCAGGAATTCAGCTTCTTCCTGGTTTAGTCTTGGGAGAGTGTAAGTGTCCAGGAAATTATCCATTTCTTCTAGATTTTCTAGTTTATTTGCGTAGAGGTGTTTATAGTATTCTCTGATGGTAGTTTGTATTTCTGTGGGGTCGGTGGTGATATCCCCTTTCTCATTTTTTATTGTGTCTATTTGATTCTTCTCTCTTTTCTTCTTTATTAGTCTTGCTAGCAGTCTATCAATTTTGTTGATCTTTTCAAAAAACCAACTCTTGGATTCACTGATTTTTTGGAGGGTTTTTTGTGTCTCTGTCTCCTTCAGTTCTGCTCTGATCTTAGTTATTTCTTGCCTTCTGGTAGCTTTTGAATGTGTTTGCTCTTGCTTCTCTAGTTCTTTTAATTATGCTGTTAGAGTGTCAATTTTAGATCTTTCCTGCTTTCTCTTGTGTGCATTTAGTGCTATAAATTTCCCTCTACACACTGCTTTAAATGTGTCCCAGAAATTCTGGTATGTTGTATCGTTGTTCTCATTGGTTTCAAAGAACATCTTTATTTCTGCCTTCATTTTGTTATGTACCCAGTAGTCATTCAGGATCAGGTTGTTCAGTTTCCATGTAGTTGAGCGGTTTTGATTGAGTTTCTTAGTCCTGAGTTCTAGTTTGATTGCACTGTGGTCTGAGAGACAGTTTGTTATAATTTGTGTTCTTGTACATTTGCTGAGGAGTGCTTTACTTCCAATTATGTGGTCAGTTTTGGAATAAGTGTGATGTGGTGCTGAGAAGAATGTATATTCTGTTGATTTGGGGTGGAGAGTTCTGTAGATGTCTATTAGGTCTGCTTGCTGCAGAGATGAGTTCAATTCCTGGATATCCTTGTTAACTTTCTGTCTCGTTGATCTATCTAATGTTGACAGTGGGGTGTTGAAGTCTCCCATTATTATTGTATGGGAGTCTAAGTGTCTTTGTAAGTCTCTAAGGACTTGCTTTATGAATCTGGGTGCTCCTGTATTGGGTGCATATATATTTAGGATAGTTAGCTCTTCCTGTTGAATTGATCCCTTTACCATTATGTAATGGCCTTCTTTGTCTCTTTTGATCTTTGATGGTTTAAAGTCTGTTTTATCAGAGACTAGGATTGCAACCCCTGCTTTTTTTCGTTCTCCATTTGCTTGGTAGACCTTCCTCCATCCCTTTATTTTGAGCCTATGTATGTCTCTGCATGTGAGATGGGTCTCCTGAATACAGCAGACTGATGGGTCTTGACTCTTTATCCAGTTTGCCAGTCTGTGTCTTTTAATTGGACCATTTAGTCCATTTACATTTAAGGTTAAGATTGTTATGTGTGAACCTGATCCTGCCATTATGATATTAACTGGTTATTTTGCTCGTTAGTTGATGCAGTTTCTTCCTAGCTTCGATGATCTTTACATTTTGGCATGTTTTTGCAATGGCTGGTACCGGTTGTTCCTTTCCATGTTTAGTGCTTCCTTCAGGGTCTCTTGTAAGGCAGGCCTGGTGGTGACAAAATCTCTAAGCATTTGCTTATCTGTAAAGGATTTTATTTCTCCTTCACTTATGAAACTTAGTTTGGCTGGATATGAAATTCTGGGTTTAAAATTCTTTTCCTTAAGAATGTTGAATATTGGCCCCACTCTCTTCTGGCTTGTAGAGTTTCTGCCGAGAGATCTGCTGTTAGTGATGGGCTTCCCTTTGTGGGTAACCCGACCTTTCTCTCTGGCTGCCCTTAAGATTTTTTCCTTCATTTCGGCTTTGGTGAATCTGGCAATTATGTTTCTTGGAGTTGCTCTTCTCGAGGAGTATCTTTGTGGCGTTCTCTGTATTTCCTGAATTTGAATGTTGGCCTGCCCCACTAATTTGGGGAAGTTCTCCTGGATGATATCCTGCAGAGTGTTTTCCAACTTGGTTCCATTTTCCCCCTCACTTTCAGGCACCCCAATCAGACGTAGATTTGGTCTTTTTACATGATCTGATACTTCTTGCAGGCTTTGTTCATTTCTTTTTCTTCTTTTTTCTTTTGGTTTCTCTTCTCGCTTCATTTCATTCATTTGATCCTCAATTGTTGATACTCTTTCTTCCAGTTGATCGTGTCGGTTAATGAAGCTTGTGCATTTGTCACGTATTTCTCATGTCATGGTATTCATCTCTGTCCATTCGTTTATGGCCTTTTCTGCATTAATTATTCTAGTTATCAATTCTTCCACTTTTTTCCCAAGACTTTTAGTTTCTTTGCACTGGGTACGTAATTCCTCCTTTAGCTCTGAGAAGTTTGATGGACTGGAGCCTCCTTCTCTCATCGCGTCAAAGTCATTCTCCATCCAGCTTTGATCCGTTGCTGGCGATGAGCTGCGTTCCTTTGCAGGGGGCGATGCACTCTAATTTTTTGATTTTCCAGCTTTTCTGCCCTGCTTTTTCCCCATCTCTGTGGTTTTATCTGCCTCTGGTCTTTGATGATGGTGATGTACTGATGGGGTTTTGGTGTGGGTGTCCTTCCTGTTTGTTAGTTTTCCTTCTACCAGTCAGGACCCTCAGCTGTAGGTCTGTTGGAGATTGCTTGAGGTCCACTCCAGATCCTGTTTGCCTGGGTATCAGCAGCAGAGGCTGCAGAAGATGGAATATTGCTGAACAGCGAGTGCACCTGTCTGATTCTTGCTATGGAAGCTTCCTCTCAGGGGTGTACTCCACCGTGTGAGGTGTGGGGTGTCAGACTGCCCCTAGTGGGGGATGTCTCCCAGTTAGGCTACTCAGGGGTCAGGGACCCACTTGAGCAGGCAGTCTGTCCATTTTCAGATCTCAACCTCCGTGTTGTGAGATCCACTGCTCACTTCAAAGCTGTCAGACAGAGTCGTTTGCGTCTGCAGAGGTTTCAGCTGCTTTTTGTTGTTGTTGTTGTTTAGCTGTGCTCTGTCCCCAGAGGTGGAGTCTCCAGAGACAGGTAGGACTCCTTGAGCTGCTGTGAGCTCCACCAGTTCGATCTTCCCAGGGCTTTGTTTATCTACTTAAGCCTCAGCAATGGCGGGTGCCCCTCCCCCAGCCTCGCTGCTGCCTTGCCGCGAGACCGCAGACTGCTGTGCTAGCAATGAGGCAGGCTCTGTGGGCGTAGGACCCTCCCGGCCAGGTGTGGGATATAGTCTCCTCGTGTGCCCGTTTGCTAAGATCCTTGGTAGAGCGCAGTATTGGGGTGAGAGTTACCCGATTTTCCAGGTGTTGTGTGTCTCAGTTCCCCTGGCTAGGAAAAGGGATTCCCTTCCCCCTTGTGCCTCCCAGGTTTGGCGATGCCTCGCCCTGCTTCAGCTCTGGCTGGTCGGGCTGCAGCAGCTGACCAGCACCGATTGTCAGGCACTCCCTAGTGAGATGAACCCAGTAACTCAGTTGAAAATGCAGAAATCACATGTCTTCTGTATCACCCGCGCTGGGAGTTGGAGACTGGAGCTGTTCCTATTCGGCCATCTTGCTCCGCCCCCCCAAAAGTTTTTAAAGCAGGGGACTTTGTTCTTACCCAACCAAAGCCATTTCCTACTTTTGTAGTATTCCTGTCAAAATGCGTAAGAGTTGGGGGGATGGAGTGGGACATGAAGGGTGGAGGTGCAATTCCGTTTCCACCCCTCGCTGTCTCACAGGTTGGAACTGCCCAGAGAGGCAACAGCAGGCCAAGCAATGTAACATGGCATCTTGTAGATTTCTTATCTACTCTCACAGTATTTTAGTTGTAGATGCACAGGTTTCCTGAAAAACTTTTCTCTCTGTTGGGTTATAAGTATTCCCCAAATTCATGTTTCAGTTTATTTTGGAGTGCTGTGTAAGCTGTGACAATCTCAAGAATCCTGGTTTGTGTACTTGCCATTATCACTTCACAGAAACCTTTCTATATTTTACAGGAAAGCCATGTATTTGAATGAACTATTGAAAGCTTAGTAATTAAAAGCAGTAATTATTTCTAGGCAATCTCTTATCCAGCTCTCCAGTCATTTAGTTTATTGGAAACCTATTATGTATATCACTATGACAGGAACTTAAGATAGAAAGACAGACACTCATTATCCACTTCAGTGTTTTCTTGGGGCAGCAGTCCAAGAACTAATAATTAAGTTCTCTTACATAAATAAAAGTTTCCTTGGAGAAAGAAGCTTGAGAGGCTGTGGATTAAACAAGCATCAACAAATTTATTTGTGTAAGACTTTCAGAGCTTATGTAGAAAGTTTGAGTATAAACAATGTACTCCAAAATTATTTCACGAAGGAGTCCAGCCTCCCCTGATGCTTTCTTCCTATCGTATATCTTAGGGTGCACTGTGGAATAACAATCACTTGAGGAATCCTCCCAAGCAAGGAAACTGTCTTATTCAGTTTTTGCATCCCCAACAATGCCTCATGTGAAGCGGGTACTCACTGTTTGCTAAATGAATAAACGCAGAAATTTACTACAGTATATGGTAGATAGCAATTAGTGCCCTGACTGAGACACAGGTAACATTTCTGAAAATTCAGAGAAGGGAGGGATTATTTTCAGCTGAAAGAAATCATATGAGGTTTAATGGACTAGGTGAAGCTGAAGGATGGGGACATTTGGAGACCGGGCTGCTGAGCAGAGGATCTGGGTAGGGGATTGTTGAGGGGATCTGGAAGTCTCTCCTTGTTGAAGGTGATAGTACTGCTCATTTTAACACTTTGAACATAGCTATGTTCCAGTACAGATTCTGGCCACTTAAGCTTTCATGTTTTAAAATCCTTACACCTTAGGAAAAAACTATTAGGAAAATCAAAACGGCAAAATATATTTAAATATATATTTATATAGTTTGAAAGGACAATTTGATACAAACACTCACTGCTGTTAGGGTTGTCTCCTATGATATGGTGCCGCCCACTCCAGTACCAGAGCAGCAGGGTGGCATCTCGAGATCCGGACACGATGTAGCAGTCTCCACCAATGTATGACTCAGACCTGGCCAAGCATGTGACCACATCCCAATGGCCAAATACAATCTGAGTCAATTTCCCTGCAACACAGAAATGACAGGTTTGCTTCATTTCATCTTTTTCTTCAAATGGTAATAAGTGTAACTTTATCAGATTTTAAAAATTTTACCATATTTATTTTATTTTATTTTACCAGTTTTGTGAAAAGTTCATCTATAGGCTGATAAAGTTACAATGTTATTCAAATCTAGCTACAGGTTGCTTTCTTGCATTGCTTTTGAAAATTGATACAAGAATGTCACTTGAGATTTTTAAGGAAAAGACTTTATTAAATAACACGATCATGATTTTTCTCTTCAGGGTTTGGGCCAGACCAAGGGGAGTTTCAGGATCTTTTACTGCATATGAATTTGTGGGAAGGGAAAAATAGCCCTATTTGTCCTGTGAACTCAGGGATCATGCTAATGTTTGGAATATATGAAGTTATAGTTACTTCACTTACAATGTGAACATTTAATTTGAATCTTGACTATTCAAGTTGGCAAATGATAAAAATGCCTACATCAAGTATGATTTCATATTCAGCTTTGGTTTTAACAATAGTCATTTTGAAGAGAATACGGTGTTTCATAGTTAGGATTACCTGTTTCTGTAGAATAAACTCTGAAGCTCTTATCCCAGAATCCACAGATAAGAATATAGCGATTATCTGCTGTGACCACAAAACAATGTGCATTGATTTGTATACTCTGGTCAACGAGGTCTGTGATCTGCCGTTTGTTTACACCAGAATTATTGGCTAAAAATAAATGGAAAAAAAAATTTGAAGATGCCATATGAGTTTCTCCAAGCACTCATAGAAGGAAAACAATACTTTCATGCTTCATTTATCCAGGAATAGTTTTTTTAATGGTATGAGATTATTAAGATTCTCCCTTGAGGAATAAAGATTTCCTTAGTAGCAGTGATTATTTATGAACCATATTATGTATTTTAAAATTCTGCCAGAAATTTCAGTTCTCCCTCCACCAATAAATAAAAACAATATGAGGAATTCAAGAAAATTAATTTACAACATAATACAATATTTTAATGCATTTAATTCTTTAGGTGCTCACTACACACAAGTTCATTAGTTTATAAGAATCACATAAGAACTAAATATTGTATAAAGTATGTTATTAAGGAAGAGATATATTAATATTTGCCCCAGTCTGTCATTTTCGGATGGTATTTTTATAATTCCCCTGAAAAAGGAGGGTAGAGATTTGAGCAAGTGATGTTGTTATGTGGGTAGCCCCACAGGGAGCTTCAGGTCAGCAGCTTTACAGGCCTGGATTGTCAACAGACAGAAGGCCTTTCCAGAACGGGCTAGCAGGGGAGGCGAGGAACAAAAAAGATGCGAGAGGGACTGGTGAGGAAAGAGACAGGCAAAGAATCAGTGCAGAGCCCTGGGATTGAATCTGAATAAAGTCAGGAACTCAGAGACACCATCTGATTTCCCCAGTGCCTGTCTGCATGCCAGCCTGTCCCTTACTGCACGCCATCCTTTCAGGATAAATCCCTGGGCTGAATTCTTAAACAGAAATGCAGATGTAGAAGGTCACCACCACTCTCTAACACCAGTTAAATATAAGTACTACTATTTGTAGACATCTACTAACACTATAAAAATAACTACTAGGAAACATAAGCAATAAAAAAATTATACAAAAAAGTCAGTAAGGAAAAAAAGACCAAAGATCCCAGGCCACTTGAAAACTATACAATTGGTCCTTTACTAATTAGAATAGACCTATTAATTTTTCCATGGTTACATACTAGCTGTATATTTCATTGTCAATGTCTGCTGGAAAGAGAAATAGCTACACTAGACTAATAATATTCTTAATCCTAAACCTTATAAGCTCCCAAAGAAATGTAAATGGTATTTTGTGTATGGGTATAAGTAACTAATTGAAATGCCTGTATCTTATCTTATTTCCAGGTTCAAAGACGAAGGATGAATTTGAATCTAAGAATAAGAGGTTGGGCGTGGTGCCTCACGTCTGTAATCCCAGCACTTTGGGAGGGCTGGGCAGGTGGATCACTTGAGGTCAGGAGTTCGAGACCAGACTGGCCAACACGGTGAAATCCTGTCTCTACTAAAAATACAAAAATTAGCCAGGTGTGGTTGTGCACCCCTGTAATCCCAGCTACTCGGGAGGCTGAGGTGGGGGAATTGGTTTAACCTGGGAGGCGGAGGTTGCAGTGGCCCAAGATTGCATCACTGCACTCCCTCCTGGGTGACACAGTGAGACTCCATCTCAAAACAAAAAAACAAAAAAACAAAAAACAAGAATCAAAGAATAAAACACCATGACTTTAATATGTAGCTTAATAACTTTTTGTAGCATTTTCAATTTTTTTCTAATTTATCTTACTAATCATTCAATGATACATATAGAACAAACATTACTAAAAACTGTCTTACAGATACGAAACTGGAAGGGCCTAGAAAGACTAAGAAGCTAGCTCTGGATCAAATGGCTAATACATATGTACATGATTATTTAAAAATATTTTGAATGTCTGCTGCAAAGAGTTATAGCTCATCAGTTTGCAATTCACATGAAACATTTGCTTTACAACATGTTAGTTTTAAAAAATTCAGTGATAAAGACTGCCAGAAAAGATGCTCTTCAATATTAGTTTCCTTTTTTTTTTTTTTGAGACAGAGTCTTGCTCTGTCGCCCAGGCTGGAGTGCAGTGGCACGATCTTGGCTCACTGCAAGCTCTGCCTCCCGGGTTCATGCCATTCTGTTGCCTCAGCCTCCCAAGCAGCTGGGACTACAGGCACCTGCCACCAGGCCCGGCTAATTTTTTTGTATTTTTAGTAGAGATGGGGTTTCACCGTGTTAGCCAGGATGGTCTCCATCTCCTAACCTCATGATCCACCTGTCTTGGCCTCCCAAAGTGCTGGGATTACAGGCGTGAGCCACTGTGCCCGGCCTTTTTTTTTTTTTTAAATTTAAGTTCTGGGGTACATATGCACAATATGCAGGTTTGTTAGGTATATATGTGCCATGTTGGTTTGCTGCACCCATCAACTCATCATTTACATTAAGTATTCCTCCTAATGCTATCCCTCCCCCAGCCTTTAAAAATCTTTTTGAATCCTTATATTTTAAATAATACTGAGCTGTTAGAGAACATTTTAGGCTGAAAGAAAATACAGTTTGGAATTATTTGTCTTATTTATAACCAACTTAAATGACCTCCAAAAATATCAAGAAACAGTTGCTTTAATACCAAAAAGTTCTTAGATGTCATATTATGATTTATACAGCTCTTTGATGATAATTTGATATTATTAGCAAATTAATCTTGTGGTAAAAAAATATTTAACTATCTTATGAAAAATAACTATATATGAATGTGTGGATAGTATCCATGAAAATTTATTCTTTTTTATTAACATACCAATTAATGGATCCATTTCAATGGGAAGATGGTGGGCTTGATCCAAGGAGTATCCTGGAGCTCCTCTGAGGCCTAAAGATTAAAAAAAAGAGAGAAAAACATGAAATTCTCAGAAGGAATTTCCTAATGGGCAGTGTTTGATGATGATTTTACAAAACGCATATTTGCTTAAAAATTATTTGGTAAATTTCTCTGATTCAGTTATACTATGCGTCTCTGTAGACAGCTTTACAAAACAATCACAACAGGGACTTCAGGTTTCCACTTAGGATGTAGAAGGCTGGAAAGAGTTTTGTTTCTGTTCTAATGATGAGAAAAAGCTGGATAAATAGAAGATCGTAACATTTATTGAACCCATCAAAAAGCGAAGGTTACTGAGCAATCAATCAGCCTGAAATCAATGAAAGGGCTATGCTTCCAAGCAGGGATGGGAATGAGCCTGGGCTCACCTGGTGCAGGACACAGGAAGCTGGGGCTGCCATCCAAGGGGGCCTTTTTCAACACATGACAAGTAAATTGAAGGTGTAAAATTGGGCCGCACCTAAAATCTTAATCTCACTAAAAGCTACTTTCAGAAGATTAATGTTTAGGGCTTGATGAAGTTCATTAGTCATAGTTTTTCACATGTGATTATATAATATATACAACACTTTTGAACAATTTTAAATAAAACTTTAGTCCTTTATAGTTTTTCTCAATGCAAAACATTTCTAGAGGCTGTCTCCTGATAATAATATAGTCATAAATTTTTCTTAAGATATTTGCTGCCTATCTCTGATTGAATGGAAGTAGCATTACCTTATGTTGATAATATCACCAATAACCTTAAAATAAGTGCACTTAGAAACTCTTAGGAGATAAAGCTATGGTACAAATCACTGTATTTTTTAAAGCAATGTAGAGGTCAGTGGAATACAAAGATTCAGGTTATTTCGGCATGACTCAGTTACTCAACTCTGGAGACCGGGGTAGTCCTTGGCTTCCTGGGAGATCTCAAGTGGTGAATTGGGCCAACTAAATCTTTTGGTCATATCCACTTCTGCCCTGGTTAAGGATCAATATGTCTAAATGTTTTTTTTTTTTTTCCAAGATGAAGTCTCACTCTGTTGCCCAGGCTGGAGTACAGTGGCGCGATCTCAGCTCACTGAAACCTCTGCCACCCAGGTTTAAGCGATTCTCCCACCTCAGCCTCCCGAGTAGCTGGGATTACAGGTGCCTGCCACTGTGCTGGGCTAATTTTTGTAGTTTTAGTAGAGATGGGGTTTCACCATCTTGGCCAGGCTGGTCTTGAACTCCTGCAGTATGTCTAAATGTTTGCCACAGCATTGTGCCGCTTCAAGATGTATTGGCTGGTACTTTCAGGAGTGACTTTGAAGAAACACATGTGAAATATGAAATCACTGGAGAATTTAGATTTTGTCTTTTTGCAAAGATTCTAGCTCTGCAAAAATAGAGCTGGTGCTTGTTTTGTTTATTGCTGTATATACAGTGCTTAGGACTACTTGACACATAATAGTCATTCAAATATTTGCTTGTAAATTACTGATAAAAGAGGATTTGAAGCCAGCATACAGAAACCCACATTCAAACTCACTTCTGTTTGATATAGGAAAAAAGTGGGGTACATTTTTTTGCAGTTAGGCAATAGCAGAATAGAGTAGGAGAACCTGAATTATTGGTAGAACTGCTTCAATTTGTCAAATATTTATTGAGTACTTAACTAACATACAGCAGAAATGAAGAAGACAGATAGGAGTCACTCAGTTGGGTTTGACAATTAGTTATTTAGTCTGCTGTTTTTTGTAGATAATGTGGAATATGAGCTAATCCCAGCACACTTTTTTACCTTCATTGTAGCTTTTAAGAAATCTTTAGTAAGCGATTTGCTCAGGCACACATACCTACTGTGTTGTGCCATCTATTCACTGCAAACAGTCGGCTGCAAGTCACTGTCACCACTGCGGGGATGGTCAAGTGGGGCAGGGTGTTGGCTGCCACATGGGTCACTGGAGAATTTGAAGGAAACTTCAGCACCATTATCACATCCTGTTGCATCTGATCTTTAAACATGAGCGGACTCTGTGGAAGGAAACACTGTTGAATAGAAAGGGAAGAGAACAGAGGAAGACAAAAGGAATAACACAGTTAGTGAAAGGCCTAGGGAGAATGAGGTTAAACAGACAAGGCTAGCACGAGCCACACACAAGGAGGAAAGGCCACCTACACTTTGTTTTTCTTTTGAGACAGGGTCTCGTTCTGTCCCTCAGGCTGGAGTGCAGTGGCGGGATCTCGGCTCACTGCAAGCTCCGCCTCCCGGGTTCACGCCATTCTCCTGCCTCAGCCTCCCAAGTAGCTGGGACTACAGGCGCCCGCCACCACGCCTGGCTAATTTTTTGTATTTTCAGTACAGATGGGGTTTCACCGTGTTAGCCAGGATGGTCTGGATCTCCTGACCTCATGATCCGCCCGCATCGGCCTCCCAAAGTGCTGGGATTACAGGCGTGAGCTACCGCGCCCATCCCACCTAAACTTTCATACTGGTGAATGTTTGCCCCAAATCGAGCAGCTTTGACTTGGGGATGGCAGAGAGACTAGAGAATAAGAATTATGTGAAGTCAGTAATACAGGGACACAGAATCATTAAAGACCAGCCTCAATTCAAGTATCGCCACAATGCAATGTGAAAAGTTAGCTCACAGACACACCCACACGATGTAACACAGTTATTCAATGCAGCTTAAAAATCAGTTTGGTGGGAAAGTCAGTCAAATCAGTGACTCACATTTTTTACATGAAATATAAAGTGAATTGACTAATACTTTCATGTCTATCTGGTTGATCTGGGGTCATGACTACAGTCTAAGTAATTAAAATACAATAGCCTCCACAAAGCGGCCGAGCGCTTCCCTGGCAGTGCTCCCCAGGTTCTGCTCTGGCACTGACTGTTTATGGTTCAAGCCTTGTTTCTGCCTTCTAGGCTGGGAGCTTATGGAGGGCCAATGCTTTTTCTTCTTCTTTTTTTAAAAATTATTTTAAGTTCCAGGATACATGTGCAGGACATGCAGGTTGTTACATAGGTAAATGAGTGATGGTGGTTTGCTGCACAGATCAACCCATCACCTAGGTAGTAAGCCCTGCATATATTAGCTATTCTTCTTGATGCTCCCCTCCTGCCACCCCCACCCCCACGACAGGCCCCAGTGGGTGTTGTTTCCCCTCGTGTGTCCATGTGCTTTCTTCTTTCTGTTTTTAGCCTCTGTTTTGTAAACATCTAGCATATGACTTGACAGAAAGTGGATACTGTAAGTCCTACAAAACACTACAAATACCACCATATTAAAAACATAAAGTAGGGAGGTTGGAAATAACCATGATTTAGCTTTCATATATGTTTCATGATGGTTTGCAGTATATATGAATTCTCTGCTAGATGAACTTAGAAAGCTTAGATTTTCTTTATAAACAGTTTCATGCCAATTCAGTCTCCAACAACTTCCCCTAGGAAAGTAATGAATTCTGACTGGGCATATCTCCAGGATAAATATTTTTATTATTATTATTAAACACAGAAAACTAACACGGGAATAAAACTCTTCTGCCAAAGCATTTCATAAAATAAAGTGTTAGAGATATCCTCCTGGACAGTTTATTAAAAATGGTGAGGCTCCAAGGCCACATCTCTGTGTCTACAATGTGGCTGAGGCTTTATACGGCAACAGCCTGAGCTTGGTGCAAACCTTTCTGTTTAGTCATACAGAAGGACCAACTGCAGTCAAAAGAGTTCATTAGTGAGTAACCAAGGGGGACGAAGCTGTTTGGCTGAGCTGTTGTAGGAAGGTTTAAAAAAAAAAAAGAGTTTAAACACACACCAGGCATGGCGGCTTATGCCTGTATTCCCAGCACTTTGGGAGACTGAGGGTCCCCAGGAGTTCAAGACCAGCCTGGGAAACATAGTGAAACCTAATCTCTACAAAAAATTTAAAAAATTTAGCCAGACATGGTGGCACACACCTGTAGTCCCAGCTACTAAGAAGGCTGGGGAAGAAAGATCGTGTGAGCCCAGGAGTTTGAGGCTGCAGTGAGCCATGATCATGCCACTATATTCTAGCCTGTGTAACAGAGTGAGACCTTATCTTAAAAAAAGGTTTAAAACAAATGCATTTAGGTCAGGCTCAATGGCTCATACCTGCAATCCCAGCATTTTGGGAGGCCGAGGCGGGCAGATCACAAGATCAGGAGTTCGAGACCAGCCTGACCAACATGGTGAAACCCTGTCTTTACTAAAAATACAAAAATTAGCCAGGGGTGGTGGTGCGCACCTGTAATCCAAGTTACTTAGGAAGCTGAGGCAGGACAATTGCTTGAACTTGGGAGGCGAAGGTTGCAGTAAGCTGAGATTGCGTCACTGCACTCCAGCCTGGGTGACAGAGTGAGACTCTGTCTTAAAAAAAAAAAAAAAAAAAAAAAAGCATTTATGTGTTTCCCAAAAGTTTGACTACTGATTTCTTGAAAGGTTAGAGAAAGTATTTGTGACCGTATCTCCAGCGCTTAGCATCAGATCTGACACACAGAAAGGGCTCAATAAAAATTTGTTAAATGACAGAGTAAATGAAAGGTGTGATTAATACTTCCATCACGAAATAACAGCTTATACATTTGTTTACACACACATTATGGACCATTTTCCAGAGCTCTTTACGCTAAAATTAGAGTACTTGTTGTCTTGAAGTTCGTCTTGTGAACACATTTTTACCTTCAAGTATTTTTTACTTCAGTAAAAAAATAGTGAAAAATCAGTTTAAAAATAAATTCTAAAAAAATTGCTCATAAAACTTTTACCTTTTCCAAATTACTTAAAGAAGAAAATGTTTACTATTTGCTAATAATCTGTAAAGAAACTTTTTTAATGGAAATGGACTTTTAATTCAGATTAAAGTGAAAAGAATATGATTCCCTTAGAAAAGGGGGAATAAGAGGTTTAACCAGTAGCTAATTATGATGATGTCAGCTAACATTTATTAAGAACTTATTGTATGACAGTTGCTGGTCTAAGTGCTATACAGTATTGAATCATTCAATTCTCAGTTGTAGGTACTATTTTTACTCCTATTTTACGGATGCTGAAATGCAAACACAGAGAGGTTAAATACCTTGCCCAAGTCATTTACTAGCTAGTGCAGAGACGGTGTTTGGCCTGTCTGGCTCTGGGGCCCTTACTCTTAACCACTCTGTTCAACAACCTCTCTTCAATAACCATAAATTACCTTTATATTTCTTTCCTTTTCTTCAAATGAACTACTTCCCCTACTGTATGTTGCCCTGAAATTTGGCAATATCATATTGTGTCTGCAATATATTTTTCACTGTAATTTACAAATACAGTCTAATTCTGGTGTCAGTGTGTGTCTCTATGCCTGTGTGTGCATGAATGAGTTTATGTAGAGGCATACATAGAGAAGATGGCCTTTTTTTGAATCCAAAAGTGGGATCGCTTAAGTAAGGCTTAAAGGTAGATTTACACTCCCTTCTCGGTCTCTCCCTAGGGTATTAGTTTGTACTTAGGCTGAAGAGTTAACCAATAAATCGAGAAACCTTTTAAAATATGCTGTTAAAATCACTATTTTATTTGCTCTATTCCCAGGTATAAAGGAAAGAAAAAAAAAAACCTCAACATGCTGATATGTCTTACCAGGTGCATGGCAGAGCTCCGAGGCGGATGTGGCTCAATAAGCAACTGAGATGGCGTCTGTCCAAAGTTCTGTATCTGTGCCTCCATGGCCTGCAGGGGAAGGAGGGTGATTGTCATAATGAATATGCATCAAAGAGAGAGGCCAACACACTCTTTGACAATGCAAGTGTATCCCAAGTCAGCCATGAAAAAAAGTCCAGAAAATTCAACGGGTGCTCTTTTCTCAGGGTGCAGAATCATCCAAGTGTTAGTATTTTGTAGACAAGCTTTGCTTCTCCTTCCAAACATGCTTCAGTTAACCCAGTCACTATTCTTATTTCCAGAAGCTGGGGTTAAATGTGGAAAAGCTAACCTGTGAATACATGCATGCAGCTAAAGACCAAAAAACACTTTCCACACTAAATACAGCACATATACCTTAATAAAGTCCTTTGTAAGAAGGAACGTATGGGGGTCTCTAATGAAATAAATTTCTGGAATCTTAACAGGGAAAAAAAGAACGAGACATAAAGCCTACCAATTATACAAAATAAAATTCAGAAAGTTATAGGTTCCAATTAATTCAGAGGACAATCAGTAGAAAGAACACCAAGATTTTATAGAGTAATTAAATATAACAAAACTTTCGTTACAAAAATATATTTTAGCTTTCTATGCTGTTTTAAGATGAATTCTGGAATATTATTTTTAAGGTATAAATTCATTTTCTCAAAATTTTTCCCTGAAATTTTAGAGAGAACTCACCCAAAAAAGAAAGAAATCTTTCTGTATCCTGAGCTACACACTATTTCATTAAAGCCTATGTAGCTGGAAATGAGATTTTATAGCTTCCAATGAATAAAAATAATTTTAGCCCTCAAACTGTCTGGACTGTACAATATACCTTTCTTGTGTGTGTCAAAGTTCAGTATTTCCTCTATACATAAATTCTATAGGCAAAATCTTTCTGAAATATTATATGTAATTTATGTCAACAAGGAGAAGCATGATATTTACTACGATCATTACTCTGCTACCATGCTAATTTTTTCCCTAAATTGTATGCAATTTGGTTGCACATAAAAGTGAAATATGAAAATCATAGCTAGGTGCTTGTAGAAGCACAGGTAAGTTGGTAGATGGCTCCTGACATAGCACCACCACTAATCTCATTGCTATCTGCAATTCTAATTTATAAAGTACTTAAATTTGAAAATCTGCCCTCCTACACTGCATTTCAAGAAAATATTTATCAATAAAAATGTGAACCTGCAAATTTATTAGCAATATTAAAGGTGAATGCATCATTATCTGCCATATTTTAGCCATCGCGTAAAGGGGACTTTGGTTCTTTTATCTGCAGAGGCAATGGGATGAATTATTAAATCTCTTTAAGTGCTGTCCAATTTTTATATATACATTTGCATGGTGTCCACTCACAAGTAAAGTGTGACTATTTAACTAAATTTTATTCACATATGATGCATTTACATCCTACTTTTTTTCCCCAATGCAATATTTATGATTATAAAAGGGGAACAGACCATTTCTGGTTAGGTTCACATTTTTAATAACAAACTCTTGAGAATTATTTGGGAAACAAAAGTGGTAATTTTATTGTTAATGCTGCCCTGGTTAGCAAATGTCTAATACCTAGCTTCATATATCATTAACAGCTAAATGTCTCTCTAACAACAGATACTGCTACTCCTGTTTTTACTTCCCAGAAAAAGGACTCAAGTGGGAGTGAGGAGTCAGGGGTAAAATTAAACATGTTTTAATCTCTAGATCAGTGTCTTGCACTTAGTAGGCAGCCTTTAAATGTTTATTGAAGGAATGAGTCAACAAACATGCTTTGCTTGACTCTAGTTTTGTTTCTTAAAGGAAAGTATTAACAGGTTCTAGAAAATGTTATGAAATGGATAAAATTTCTAGAAATCTTCTGTGCAGTTATCTTCAGTGAGTCCCAACTCTGACCTTTTTGGATTAAGGCAGAGTACATATGCATGTATATTTAAAAGAGCTCCCCAATCAGGCATCAGGATAAAGACGAGATTGTGACTAACTTTATCCTTTCATTAAGACAGTCAGTTCTCAACACTGAACGTTTATTTCTTTTGGGACTATACTGACTCCCTCTTCCTTGTGTTCTACTTTACATGCCTTCATGACCCAAAGGATCTCAGTCCAGTATTTACCTTTTAGCTATCTGGTAATCCTGCCTTCCAGTAATTCCTTACCCTCTGATTTAAAAATGTACAGATCTTTCTGATCCTGAAAAGCATGCTGTCTCCTTTAAGTTCTACTTCTTATTATTACCAAAACATTTGAGGGGGAAGTGAACGCCTACTATCTTTCTTCACCTGCTCCCCATGTAAGATTTTCTGTCCTTTCCCACTTTCAGGGAGTCATCAATGACTTTCTTGTCAAGTGTGCAGGTCCTGTGCACGGGAGGGTTGCCTGGTGACACGCAGAACCCATTCTGCAACCCATGAATTGTTACAATGAAGTAGTTGTTCTGAGAGCTACTCCCTATGTAGGAGAAAATCCTCCCCGAATGCTAACTTTGGGCAGGGATCTAAATCCTTCACCTCCCAGACTCCCTAAATCATAATGAATGCCCTGCATATTCTCACAGCACATTTTTCTCCTTTACTATAGATTTTAACACACAATTATTTATGTATGTCTGTCTGTTCAGAGTGAATCTCTGCAGGTCAGGACTGTGACTTAATAGAGGCTCTAAAAATATTTGCTGAATATGTAAGTAGGGCATTTGTATAAAACTGAAACCTAGTCTAGAGAAAGAAAAGCACTTCCGAATTTTTTACTTTTACAATTCAATACCACAAAAACAATTAACAGACATTTGTTGAATGCTTACTCTATGCCAAGGAATACAAAGTCAGATACCAGACTGCCCTCAGGAAGTTAGCAGCCCCCAAAATGAAGATGATGAGTGTGTCAGCGCACATGGTAGGGAGCAGGACCGCAGGGGAGGCAAGCCCAGGCTGCCCTGGGAGCCCAGATGAGTGACAGAGGAGAAGAGGAACAGATTCTTAGGAAAAAGGACAGAGTTCAGCTTTGAAGATTAAGTAAGAAGAAGTATGGGATTATGTAAAAAGACCAAATCTACATCTGATTGGGGTGCCTGAAAGTGAGGGGGAAAATAGAACCAAGTTGGAAAACACTCTTCAGGATATCATCCAGGAGAACTTCCCCAACCTAGTGGGGCAGGCCAACATTCAAATTCAGGAAATACAGAGAACGCCACAAAGATACTCCTCGAGAAGAGCAACTCCAAGAAACATAATTGCCAGATTCACCAAAGTTGAAATGAAGGAAAAAATCTTAAGGGCAGCCAGAGAGAAAGGTCAGGTTACCCACAAAGGGAAGCCCATCAGGCTAACAGCAGATCTCTCGGCAGTAACTCTACAAGCCAGAAGAGAGTGGGGGCCAATATTCAACATTCTTAAAGAAAAGAATTTTAAACCCAGAATTTCATATCCAGCCAAACTAAGTTTCATAAGTGAAGGAGAAATAAAATCCTTTACAGATAAGCAAATGCTTAGAGATTTTGTCACCACCAGGCCTGCCTTACAAGAGACCCTGAAGGAAGCACTAAACATGGAAAGGAACAACCGGTACCACCCATTGCAAAAACATGCCAAAATGTAAAGATCATCGAGGCTAGGAAGAAACTGCATGAATTAATGAGCAAAATAACCAGTTAATATCATAATGGTAGGATCAAGTTCATACATAACAATATTAACCTTAAATATAAAAGGACTAAATGGTCCAATTAAAACACACAGACTGGCAAACTGGATAAAGAGTCAAGACCCATCAGTCTGCTGTATTCAGGAGACCCATCTCACATGCAGAGACATACATAGACTCAAAATAAAGGGATGGAGGAAGATCTACCAAGCAAATGGAGAACAGAAAAAAGCAGAGGTTGCAATACTAGTCTCTGATAAAACAGACTTTAAACCATCAAAGATCAAAAGAGACAAAGAAGGCCATTACATAATGGTAAAGGGATCAATTCAACAGGAAGAGCTAACTATCCTAAATATATATGCACCCAATACAGGAGCACCCAGATTCATAAAGCAAGTCCTCAGAGACTTACAAAGACACTTAAGACTCCCATACAATAATAATGGGAGACTTCAACATCCCACTGTCAACATTAGACAGATCAACAAGACAGAAATTAACAAGGATATCCAGGAATTGAACTCATCTCTGCAGCAAGCAGACCTAATAGACATCTACAGAACTCTCCACCCCAAATCAACAGAATATACATTCTTCTCAGCACCACATCACACTTATTCCAAAACTGACCACATAATTGGAAGTAAAGCACTCCTCCGCAAATGTACAAGAACAGAAATTATAACAAACTGTCTCTCAGACCACAGTGCAATCAAACTAGAACTCAGGACTAAGAAACTTAATCAAAACCGCTCAACTACATGGAAACTGAATAACCTGATCCTGAATGACTACTGGGTACACAACAAAATGAAGGCAGAAATAAAGATGTTCTTTGAAACCAATGAGAACAAAGATACAACATACCAGAATCTCTGGGACACATTTAAAGCAGTGTGTAGAGGGAAATTTATAGCACTAAATGCACACAAGAGAAAGCAGGAAAGATCTAAAATTGACACTCTAACATCACAATTGAAAGAACTAGAGAAGCAAGAGCAAACACATTCAAAAGCCAGCAGAAGGCAAGAAATAACTAAGATCAGAGCAGAACTGAAGGAGATAGAGACACAAAAAACCCTCCAAAAAAATCAATGAATCCAGGAGTTGGTTTTTTGAAAAGATCAACAAAATTGATAGACTGCTAGCAAGACTAATAAAGAAAAAAAGAGAGAAGAATCAAATAGATGCAATAAAAAATGAGAAAGGGGATATCACCACCGACCCCACAGAAATACAAACTACCATCAGAGAATACTATAAACACCTCTACGCAAATAAACTAGAAAATCTAGAAGAAATGGATAATTTCCTGGACACTTACACTCTCCCAAGACTAAACCAGGAAGAAGCTGAATTCCTGAATAGACCAATAACAGGCTCTG